CAATTTTTGCAAGCTCCAGCGATGGCATTTGAGCCAGCCGAACTTATATTCATCTGTTAGCAGTTGAATGTGTGACACCCTGTTGCCATGGCTCCCATAACTTAGTCTATAAGATGCCCATTGAATTTCCTTTTCCATCTCTTTCAGGGCCAGGAGCAAATGTGGCACAGTATTAGAAATACAGCATCATATGCTTTATAAACCAATGTATCAGCTCTCTTATATTCAGGCTGTATGCTGCACAGATTTACACACAAGGTTTCAGCCCTAATGAGGCCACTGGTCTCTCAACCAAGGCATTGATATAAGCCTCATGCACTTGGCTTATGGCCACTGCCAGCTCCTTTATTCTACATTCCAATGCAGTAAAGACACTCACTCCTTCTCTTTCATGGAGCTAATCAGCTGCATCTTCTGTTTCTAGTTGTTCCTGCAGTGTCAACATGTCAAAGAAGCTTACATTTTTCTTCCTAGTGGGCTCCACAGCCATGTCTGCTGCACATTCCACTCATCGCAGTGGCAAAACAGAATCAAAGGATAGTAATGAATAGCCAGCATTATTTATTTATTTATTTATTTATTTATTTATTTATTTTATTTTATTTATATATATATTAGATGCTCTGGTCACAAACAATTTAGGCATTGATTGTGTTAATCAACCAACTCCATCAGAGTCTGTTAGAAGAAATAGAACACCATCGTGTCCTGAATACAAAAGGTTGGGAAAGTTGAAAAAGTTTGATAATTCAGATAAGCAAGTTATGACATTTTGGAGTTACTAAGGTTGAGAGATTAGATGCTCTGTGTCCGCAGCACCCACACTTCAAAATATCTGCAAGTGACTCTCCTTATAGTGCAGTTGGTACTTGGCAAGGAAACAAGCAGAGGGCGTTCCAAAGGAAACTGCCCTGGTGGTCTGGAAAAGAAGTAAAACATCTATTCTCATGTTCTCTACCTTTTTTTCTTCATACACTTACCGCATTCAGTAAATGTCACAAAGTACACTTGGAATGCACAAGTACAGACATTAGAATACAACAAACAGTGTCCTCTTCTTCTTCTTCTTCTAGCTGTAGCACACATTTCTAACTCTGTGTAGGTGTTCTAGTGCTACTAACAAAGGTATATGAGAGGGCACATAAGATGACATCTTGCATGAAGTGCTTAATCACAGTAACACACTGCACTCTGATGCAACTTCAGAAGACTGGGCAGAAATGTTATTTTGAGTTTGTACACTAAATTATATATTCAGGCATTTGTATCAAAATATATAGCTATTAGGCAGCTAAAAATTAGATATCAAAGAACCATTGGGGAAGGGCTGGGTTCTTCAAGGGTTCATAGCTAAAGGCTCTACCTCAAATAGACAGAGGGACAAAGCAACGAACCTTTAAGGGTCATAGATGGGTTGTTTTTTTTTTTCTAATGTTGTATGACAAAAATGCTGAATATGGGTCTAAAGTCTTTACTACACTGAACCATGGTCCAAAGTGAAAATGAATATATTGAGCAGTAGCCAAATTTGAGGTGATCTATTATTCGTACATTTGCTTGTTCCTATCAGTGGAAAAGGAAAAATGAACATAATAATCAAACTATAGGTTGCAAGTATTTGTAATTTATCAACCTTTCTACCCAGAAAGTTGCATGAATATTTTGATATATCCATTCTTATTGTTTAGCACTTATTATACGGACTTCACTGTCACTTCAGGAATATCAATCCTGGCACCACACTGAAGAAATACTCTATGTGAATGTTATTGTTGCATAGATTTTAATATGAAAAGAAGAAAATATATTCTGACTAGGAAATAAAATATTCCACAACCATAAGATGCAAACAATAAGCTTAGACACGTTTCACTTGCATGTTGTGCTTAATCTAATGGAACACATCTTCCCTATATCAGACATTAGTCATGCTGTTACTTGTGCAAGCTTATTCAACAGCACATTGCATGCAACAGCAATCATAGCAGGCAACATCTTTACTCTTTTACAAAACACTAGACAATGCTGCTGCACACAAAGAGCTGAGATTTTACAAAAACATGCTGTAATAAGTGCTGATGTACAGCTCACTGTATGTAGTAGCTTTCTTGATTTAGATTATGGATTATTGTGTCTACACTAAAAGAATAAAAGTCTGTGATTACATCAAAAAGACACTCTGATGTGTGCTAACTACCCTAGGTAATGGATGTTTATTTGTTTATTTATTTATTTTTTTTTTTACTCCTTGCATGCCAAGGCTACTCTCTTTGAGTACAAGGAGTAAATGTCATAAAGTGCGCAAGAACAGACACACTGCAAAAAAATAGCAAATGTAAATATCTTAAATGTAGTCAAATGTATCCAGCATGTCCTATTATAAGATTATATATAGGATTCTAAATCAAATGTATGATTTCTAGACATTTTGACTAATTTCAAGTTCTAAATTTTCTTATTCTATTAGCAGATAATTTTGCATCTTTCTAAAATTAAATGCTTCAAATTAGCAAAATTATCTTCCAACTGAACAGGAAAATTTCAAGCTTCATATTCAAACTTCAAATCAAATTTGACTATATTCAGTATATAATCTCTGGATAACATTTTTGCTGTGCATTCTCAAACCAGCGATGCCTTTATTTTAAATTTATTTTTCTCTTTGCTATTTGCAAGTGCTTAGCACAAAGAGCACAGAACCAATCAGAACTGAGCAGAACCAATGTTGTAAAATTCTGTTGGTTCTTCTGATCCAACTCCAGCATACAGTATCTCTCCTAATCTAGTTAGAAAAAATAGGTTATTTGCAGGCATAATAAAGTAAGCTAAGAAATAGCCCCTAATATTTTTTTAATGCCAACATAAGGTCAAATGCAATTTTATAATTTATTAATGGAGTTTGCAGATTCTGTATTTAAAAGTGCATAGATATGCTAGGTCACTGTATCACTTATTGGTTTAGCTTACTAAGCTGTTTTCCTGCCTATTGCAGACTTTAACCCAACATAAGGTTTTTATGTTGAGAAAACTTTCAAGTTTAATTGATCTTGTTTCTTCATCCATGAACTGAAGTCGTTTAATGTTATAACCTGTGCTGCACGTGTGAATGATGCATTGAATGAAATCACCTGAGACTTGATGTAAGTTGGAGGTAATACATATATAATCAACTAGTGGGCTGCATGAAATGAATATATAATATTATACCACAGCACAGCCGAATTCTGAATTCAGGACGCATGCAATAATTTTCTATAATAACACAGCTCTGAGAGTAGCTCTGTAACATAAGTGAAATGTTTATATTAATGCTCTTGCTCTAATGTGTTATCATTCATATAGTAACAGCTCAGTCACAGGGACTTTTATGGTGGCTGCTCTATATAGTGTAATGATGTTAATAATAAACAGATTAAAGCATGATTTAAAAAAAGAAACGTGTAATCAATGAAACATAGACATTTTGTACATGGCATGTATTTATTTGTCTGACTGACTTTGAGAGATAATACAGGAGCGGCTGGTGAGGGAACAACTGTTTATAGCTGCTATAATGTAAACTATAACAGAAACTAACTTGCTTCGTGAATGCTCCATATCATTAAAAGTAATTATAAACGATTAAAAAGTGTGATGTGTCATGCATTAATGAATTCAAACTTGTAGTCGTTGGCAAATTGCTGTAGTATAAGGTAAATAACACACTTCGGACCATGCTGTTATACAAAAATAATCCACTTTGGGGTTGTAACAGTCTTTCACTTAATATCACGCCACCCTAGTGTGGATTATTTTTGTATAACAGCATGGTCTGTTATGTGGTATCACTTACATAATAAGAAGTAACAGAAATTTCAAATGAACATTTCTGCTCCAGAGAAGTTAATTAATAGAGTAAATTTCCCAGAGTAAGGATGATTATGATTTCGGGTGCATTTTTATTCCTAGTAAAATACCATTCACAAGAGGACAGGGGTAGTGATATTTTAGTGGTTAAGATTCTGACCGTAAGGTTGTGAGTTACCTAATATACCTAAATACCTGACCTGTCATAGACCTAATATTGGGCCCATGTGTCGGGCCTTAATTTCTCAGAATTTATGCTTGGATTTGGTTCTGAGGATGACAACCTCAGTGCTCAATTAAAAATAATAAATAGATTACTTAATATATTACCTTGTATCTCCTACTATATGTCATCATTTATAACATGTGAGACATTCAACTAGCAGTTGTTTTCCCTTCATGATAAGACGGCAGGCTTATTTTTGCTCATTAGTTGTCACAGAAAAGTTGTCCCATTGAAAATCCGCAATATTCTTCTCTCATTTGGATGTATTCTTTGTGGTGCATCCTTTCACTGCACTATTCTGTGATAGACAGACTTTAGACACTCAAGCAGACGTGTTTTTGTTCCTTTCCTCCAGGACTCAGGTATATGCTGTCATGCTTAATTAGCTAGTAATTTAAGAATTTTCAAGCAAATACTGCGGCATGGATTGTTTGCTATTTTGTCTGGATATATTTTCTGCAGTCATGCTACTGGCATAATGGCATAGAAATATCTGTATAGTCCCTTTTTTTTTTAAATGGATCGAGTATGTCAATATTCTTTTGAAAGCTACCTGCAGGTATGAGAAAGCAGAACTGAGTGGATACAAGTGTTCTATAACAAGAAAGGCAAAGAAAGTGGGGCATATTACCTGAATACAATCTATGAATGACTCCACTAAGATTTGCTTGGTATCCATTGTGCTTTTGTGCACTTGAGTGAGCAGAAAACTCACAAGTGACACAAATTCAATGTATGCTGCCAATGTATAGAACATGTGCTGCACTTCATTAAGCACCATCGTCACGATCTGTTCATTTTATGTCATTTTACAGGCGGTTCAGGTCCAAGCAGAAAACTGAAAGTCTAGAAGGGATGTCATTCTTATATCAGATTTACAACAGATTATATGATTATATAAGTGATTACTCAATTAATTTAACTGGGGTCCCTGGAGGACTAGTGGTTAGGCCACTGCACGCTCACTGCCCTGGCCTGGGTTCGATTCCTGGCCAGGGAACTGGCCCCAGCCACTGGGGTTGCACACGACAGTGCGCTCCTAGTGCCGGTCCCAAGACCGGATAAAACTGGGGAGGGTTGTGTCAGGTTGTGTGATCTGCGAACCAGTGTTTTGCTGTTGCGACCCCTCACCAGAGCAGCCAGAAGAAGAAGAACAACAACAACTCAGTTAATTTAACTCAGTTACAAAAATTAATTCCTTTTATTTGTATAGTGTTTTTAACATTTTAACAGACATAATCAGTTTATGGCAAAGATTTGACAAGCAATCTGTCACCCTGGTATCAGTATTTCTGACAACTTGCTGTTTTTGGATTGTTGGCTTTCAAAACTAGTAAAATATGGCTTATACCCTGAATTAGATCCAAAATAATGAATGCAGTGAGATAAATTCTTCACATTAATGGGCATGTTCCAGGTGATTTAGAGTAATGCTGCAATCCATTGTAATCAGAAAAAATAGACCTCTAACACGGAAAAGTGCAATGGAATGGTGATTCAACTCAAAATTCCAAGTCGGAAACTCTGGCACCAGCCACTTTGCCTGAGTTCTCTGACATAAACACACCTGACATCACAACAGTATGGCAGCGCACAGTCAACAGTAAACAGATTTCTCTTTGCATTATTTTCTACTTGATATAAAAACAATTTTACTTAATATGTAGCTTCTGTGTTGTGAAAACATGTTTTAACAGATTTGTAAGTTTAGAATTGGAACTCAGGAAAATCGACTTGGAAATTTCCGAGTTCCGAGTACAGTGGATTGCAGCATAATTGATGTTGTTGACATCATATGAAAAGTAAGAGGGGAAAAAGGTAAATTATATTTTTGTGTGTGTTCTCAATAGCTACGGTGACTTCGGATCTCAAAGAAAGTCCCAGAACAGTGACTGAAACTGAAAACATAAGTATAACACCAGCAAAAGGTAGAGAGAGACAGGTTGAAAAACTATTAAAATAGAGTTTAGAGGTGAATGTGCATTATCATAATGACCTTTTTAAAAGCCACTGTTTAAAAGCTATTCGTATTGGAGGCACAAGTGTGCAATGAATATCTAATAAAAATAACTTCACAGTGGTAATAATAAGACATAATTTTGAGAAATGATTTAATTAGGCATACTTTTGGTAAACTTTTTGGTTTTTCTAATTAAAATTATACAATATAGTATAATTTTGTCTTCACCCTATGGCAACAGGCTTCTGCAAATTTAATACATGCTATCAGGATGTATTAATTTGTGCACATAATTGGCATTGCAGACCGTTTGACATTCAGGCTTAGTAAATCACATAGCAAGTGCAAAATTAATCTGTTTGCATGGCATTCTGCACCTCTAGGTAAAAAAATATCCCAAATTGGATTTTCATTAAGTTAAACATGCAAAATGTTTTAGTCAAATCAGCTACTGATCCAGCACTGCACTAGTTCTGTAGTAGCCTAGTCATTAATTCTCAAAATGGCATCAAATCCTCACCATACTTACTCCACTTTTCAACAGACCAGATGGAAAACTTCTTTCTTCACTCTCTTTAGCAGCTAATGCAAAGGGAAAAGCTAAGAAATGTTCACTTTTTTCATTGGCCATAATGAACAGTGGAATAATAGAAGTCGCTGATGGACCTGGACCATGGGACTGGATCAGGAAAAAAAAAAAACAGTGTGTGGGCGATGAAGAAAAGATTTCTTCTTTCTCCATGCAAGAGGGATTGATGATTGGCACACTAAGCAATTAGGATTTTTTATTTTTTTGTGAGCAAGAATGCCATGAGCAGAAATGGACAACTCTCCATAGCTGATTTTGTTTTCTTGTTTTTTTTGATTTCTTGTTTTCAGGTAATATATCCTGGATTTACTTTCACAAATACACATTTAGATGTATTATATGTAAACTTTGCCCTACAGATTAATTGTCTTTCAATTGGTCCTTGATGTGCAGAGTATTTCTAAAACTGCTGCAGTGAGAAGAGTAGTGATCACACGATAATATGAAAAGCCACAGTACATTGCTTTAACCAAGGCCAGCCAAGCATTGATGCTTGAACAATGGGAGAAGAAATTTCATCATGAGAGAGACAATTAGCAATGAAATCCATTGTAATCAAGTTTTCTAGATAGTACAAGGTTAATGTGTATCTTGGTAAATTCAAGGAAATGGCACTTGTACAAACTTGGCTTTATATTAATGACTTCATCGACATACCAGTGCATGCATCATGTTACAAATTGTTATCTTTCAGTAGACCCGTGTTATGGAGCACAAAGAAATTTCAGCACCTTTTCAGTTTGGTGTCAAATGTCACAGTTCCTCACCTTTCCTTGACTCATTGGCTGCTTTCTATAAAATTATTTTGGGCAGATGTTTTATAGATCCACAGTGACAACGAACACGGATTTGGCACTTTCACCTTAGCATGTTTCTCACCAGGTTTGTTCCACCGGTGATGAGACACTTTTCTATCAGTATGATTCGTTTTAGCTTTAGCTTTCTGCATTTTGGGAAGTAGGAACAAGGCACAAACTGATTCATAAGAGCAGTAATGATGACTTCATTTATAGCATTTATAGCATTTAGACTTACAAAACATATACTCATGCTAGTTCAATAAGTCAGGGCCTAAGAGTGCTTTCACATATGTCGTGTGTAGTCTGTGGTGTGTTTTCTCTTTGGTACAGTGCAACTGCACAGTTGAAAGCGTTCTCGGTTGAGGACCAAAATAACCAGTTAAAGACGGCCTACAGAGTTCCATTGAAACTGTAGTATGGTGCAATTACAGTGAGAAAGCAGTTTTGCCATGCATTTTGCCTGCAGGTGAAAATTTTCTACAGATGCAAGCTGATAAACTCTGCTAGTGGACAGGGCTGTAGTGCTGCAGAAATGCCATACGGTCGACCGATGAAAAACAAAAGAAAACAAATGTAAGTGTAAACAAAATATTTTCAGCTAGCTATTTCTATAATTATCTAGTAATTTATTGAGCCAGCTCTGTGTTGTCCACGCTCGGGTGATTTTTATGATTTCTACGCAGGCTTGGTAAAGTTTTTTCTGTCATCATATTTCTGATGAATTAACGACAGAGTTTTATGAGTACTTTTTCAGCCCTACACAACCCCCAGTCTACATTTATTTGTTTTTTTGTTTTTTTACATGCAGTGAATAAATAAATCAAATCAAATGAACCAAAAATATCAAATTACACTCTGCTTTGGACTCAACAACTGCCTTAATAATACCATTGCGCTAAACCCTGTTATAAAGAAGTTATTACAACATGAAAAGAAACCAGGTAGCAAGGTATACACACACACACAAACACGCACACACACACACACACACATGTATATATATATACATAGATATATGTAAATAAAATATATCCCTTCATATACCCCCCTCATAATAATGTATTTGACGTATTTACCAGACAGTTGCAGCCCATTGCTTTGAATTCTGATGACTAGCAGGTAATATTTTCTTTGTGATCTTTGTCCATGCTGCAAGTATGACTAACTAGCCATGGTCCAGACCACTGCTGAGCTCATGGTCATTATCACATCAAAAGAAACCAGCAAAATAACATTACTGTGCAGGTCCCAGTATCCCTCAAGCCATCTTCTTCAATTTCCCGTATTTATGATTCAGTTCCCTTCTTCCCTTTTCTCTTATGTAGAATATTTCTGAAGATATATAAAAATGAGGAAATGCAGTTAGACTCTCTGAAATATAACTATAAATACCAATTGTGCCCTCAACCTTAAGTAGTAATGCATTTACCAGTCTAATTTGTCGTGATTTTATAATAAAATGACCGCAACTTACCTTCCTTCCTCCAACAACAAACAGACACTTATTGGCTATATTACATTAGGGAGGTAGAAGAGAGGAGTGACGGATGAAAAAACGAGGAGGACGGAAGGTGGGGAGGGGGCAGGGGTCCTACACTGATGAGGCTTGAGCCAAGGCTCACAGATGAAGATCAAAATAGGCAGGTGGGGATTTTACACAGATTAAAGCAGAATGGAGGACAAACAAAATCCTCCTGGGTTTTAATGAGGGGAAATTAAGGCCATGGATGAGAGTCTGATGAATACAAGCAAAATAAGCCCCAAACAACACGTCCTTAAAAAGAAACATGGCATTTTCTCTGACCAATGTGTTTACCACCCGTGAGTTAATGCAGCACGTTTTCTAAACAGAGCTGTAGGAAGAAAGCTTGGGGTCAGGCCGATTTTCAATTACCATTTATTTCCTCTTAATACAGACAGGCCACTAATTCTTTTATAAGTGCCTTTATAATGACTGCTTTTAGAATGCAATGCTGTTTATTGCAGGAATTCTAATACAACCTCTTTATTTAAACATACAACCCCATTTCCAGAAAAGTTGAGACGCTGTGTAAAATTTAAATAAAAACAGAATGCAATGATTTGCAAATCATTTAAACCCTATATTTAATTGAAGATAGTACAAAGACAACATATCAGATGTTGAAATTTTATGGGTTTTTTTTTAAATATATGTTCATTTTGAATTTGATTCCAGCAACCCGTTTCCAAAAAGATGGGACAGGGGGCATGTTTACCACTGTGTTGCATCACCTCTTCTTTTAACAACACCCTGTAAGCATTTGGGAACTGAGGAGACCAACTGCTGTAGTTTTGAAAGCGAAATGTTTTCCCATTCTTGCTTGATATAGGATTTCAGTTGCTCAACAGTTCAGGGCCCCGTTTGTTGTATTTATCGTTTCATAATGTGCCAAATGTTTTCAATGGGTGGCAGGTCTGTACTGCAGGCAGGCCAGTTTAGCATCCAGACTCTTTTACTACAGAGCCATGCTGCTGTAAAACATGCAGAATGTAGTTTGGCATTGTCGTGCTGAAATAAGCAAGGCCTTCCCTCCAAATATGTTGTGTCCATATACATATATGTTGCTCCAAAACTTGTATATATTGTTGTGCATTGATGGTACCTTCACAGATATGCAAGTTACCCATGC